TGGCATTCTAAGAAACAAGCATATGTTGTCTTATCCACAACTGAGGCCAAATATATAGCGACTTGAAATTGTTGTGCTCAAATTCTTTTGATGAAGCAACAACTAGAAGATTATAGTATTTTTTTAAAGACATTCCTTAGAAATGTGATAATACAAGTGCAATTAACCTTACTAAGAATCATGTTATGCACTCTAGAACTAAGCATATTGAAATTAGACATCTCTTTTTTAAGAGATCATATTTCTAAGGGAAATTGTAAAATTAAATATATAGATACAAAACATCAATTAGCATACATATTTACCAAACCTCGTCCCAAGTATAGATTCTATGAACTTAGGAGAGACTTAGGAATATTAGAAATAGCTTAAACTATGTAAAACTATAAAATCTTTGCAATTCATACTGAAATAATCGATTATCTTGGGTAATAATCGATTATCCTTACTTCTATGAATTTTTTTTACCAAACTCTCTAGAATAATTGATTATTTCAAGTAATAATCGATTATTCATCTTGAGATAATCGATTATTTTGAGCTGATAATCGATTATCCATAATTTAATAAGCGAAACCTGTAAAGACTCACTAGGATAATCGATTATCTCAGTTGATAATTGATTATTCATGCATATTTTGGGTAGCTGATGAACAAATAATCGATTATCATGAGGTGATAATCGATTATTGAGCGTCGTTGGGCATTAACTAGTCGTTGGCAACGGCTCTCTTGACCTTGAATCTTGTGTTTATATCCATTTATATCGATTGTAGATGTTCTTTATATATATGAAGACTTAGAAACTCATTCAAGCTTCTCTTCCAAGTGATTTGCTTTGGTTCCAAGCTCATTCTTATTTATTGCCTCTCTCAAACTCTTGCTTCTCTTAATACTTAATCTTTCTCTCTTCCAAATACCCATTCTTCCTAAATGGCTTCATCATCCAGAAGAAAGATCTCCACTAGAAGAAGATCAGTTCCTTCTTCTCAACCTCGTCCAAACTCCATTAAAGGATGGATCTCTGACGAAGAGAAGAGACAGGAGTTTCTTACATTCTGGAAAGAAAGAGGAATAATTTCTCCGAAATTCTTAAAAGGAGATCAATTCATCAACTGTGGATTCATCTTTCCAAATCTTCTTGAGCAACAAGGTATATTACCTTTTTTTGAAATGGAAGGAATGTATTATCCTTACTTGGTTAGGGTCTTTTACTCTCGTTTCAAATATCGCGATCATGTAGCAACAACGAGAGTCAAAGGCATCACCATCATTCTTGATGATGACATTTGGGAGAATGTCGCAAAATTTCCTATCAGGGATGATGTCGTCAACGTCCTGATGGATCTTGATGACTTCAACAGAATTCTGGCATATCGCTCCTTCCTCCGCAATCCTGCTGTGAAAATTGGAAGATAGCTTCCTGCAAGACCACTAAAGAAAGAGGAACGAATGCTCCTTCATCTCATCATCTGGATCCTCTGTCCCAGAGCCACCAATCATGCTCAATGTTCTACTGTTGATCTTCGTATAATACATGCGATTATGAACAGTGAGTTAATTGATTGGCCTAGCCTTGTTACTTTGACGATGCTCAAAGCCAAGCGACATCCTACCTTCAGGATCCCTTATGCTCTTCTCATCTCCCAAATTCTGGAATACAAGGGAGTTAATCTTGAAGGCGAACAAAAGCTCTAGACATTGAACTCAAATAGAATGCTTGACAGCACACTTACTCAGCTGTAGATGGTCAATGTTAATGGAACCTACTTTCATAAGGATGAAGCGCCAAATGCCATTGTTGCTGAAGATGATGAGATGACTGCTGATGATGCTCCTGTTGGAGGGACTTCCTCTGGCGCTCATACTGAAGCATGCTCTTATATTGAAGATATGATTTTCAGCATGAACCAAAGAATGCAAGACTTCTTTTCCATCTCTGCAGAACGACATCATGAAATTATCCATCGCATTTCGGATATGCATGAACGTGTGTCAAATCTAGAAGATAGATTTGCCATGAAATTTAATAATGATTTCGAGAGCGAAGAGTTTTAGAATTGCTAAGCTTAGAGAAAAAAATTCTCTATTTTTTATTACTTTAGATAAACTTCAATAAATATCTTTTTTTTGCATATTTTAAGGGGGAGTTGATTATTTTTCTGCATATAATGAAGGGGAGCTTATATTCTTTTTTATTATGATAAAATAGGGGGAGAAAATACTTAGAGCCTGGTATGTTTAATTTTTTTTTTTTATGTTAGTTGTGATAGTAAAACAAGTTATTACAAAGGGTTTTTTAAGCATATTTTGATCATCATAAAAAAGGAAGAGATTGTTAAAAATACAAGGGTATGATGCCTGAAGATTTTGATGATACTTTAGAATACAAAGGACTTCAAGATTAGGAGACTCATATACAATTGTATCTATTTGTAATAACTTTGTTTTATCATTTTGAGTCTATAAAAATAAAGTCCAAGATAGTCAGCACATAGTCTGTCCACTGAAAGTTCATTTTTTACTAAAACACTCTGTGATAATCGATTATCACCTGATCATAATCGATTATCAATAATCGATTATTGATAATCGATTATCACTTATGATAATCGATTATCCAAGTTCACCTGGGTCTCTGAAAGTCTCTGGAATAATCGATTATCTCAGTGGATAATCGATTATCCTAGTCAAATTTTGTTCTCCTCGAAAAGTGGCTTTGTAATAATCTATTATCACTTATGATAATCGATTATTTGTGTCAGTTATGATTATGAATTTCAAATTTCAGACTTATTTTCGAAAACCCTAATTTCAAAATCCTAAAATCTCTATTTAAGGAACTCTCAAGCTCTCTGTAAATGACATTTTCATACTAAAGTTTATAGTTGTGATTGCTGAGAGAACTTTGAGTATGGAAGAAAAAGGGGTTTTTGTAACCTAGTGTGGGCTAGAAGCGATAAGAATCACTAAGTGGATTTCTTGGTACATTATGTGTTGTGTCGTCTTTAGGAAAAGTGTTTTCATCCTTTGTGGATTCAAAGGAGATGTTCATCTCTTGTGTAACTCAAGAGAGGTGTTTTCTAATCCTTATTACTTGTAATTTGTAATCTGTTTGAACTATTGTTTTAGTGACTGAGCTAATCCTCTTTTAGAGTGATTAACAACTAGGCGTAGGGTCTTTTGATCCGAACCAGTATAAATTACTTGTGTAATCTTCTTCCTATGTCTCTTTACTTTTCAAGTGCTTTATTATATTATCGTTTAATCGGTAAAACTTGCGAAAAATTTAAAAAATAGAATGTTTTTATAAGGTACCAATTCACCCTCTTGGTTTTTGTCCTAAACGCAGACATTTTACTGTGCGATACCTACATATTATTACTACTAGGAAAAGAGGCACAAGTATGTTTAGCTAATTCATAAGACTCTCAGTTAAATTTTGAGCTATCTAAGTTTTCATATAATTGGGGAAACACGATTTTTAAAACATTAAATGATGGGTGCCCTAGACGATAGTGATATAGCAACAGGGTGTCCTTATTTGATGCACTGAGAAGAGACATCGGTTGGTCCACTATGGATTCTTTAGATGCCTCCAAGTAATAAAGACCATCTTTTTTTTTAGCTAGTTCAATCCTCCTCCCCGAGCCCTGCTCCTCAAAAACACAGAAAGATGGAGAAAAAATTGGAGAGCAATTGAGGTCATGGGTTAGTTTTTTTATGGAGATAAGACTGGCTGAGAGTTTTGGTACATGTAGGACATTTTTAAGAATAAGATTGGAGGGTAATTAGATATTTCCATATCCTGCAACAATGGCCACAAATCGATTGACAACAATAATTTTCCTATTGCTTGGAGATGGCATATAAGAATGAAAAAATTGATACAAGTATGTCATATGATCTGTAGCTCTTGAATTTACAATCCAAGAGTTCACACTATATGAGGCACTCATTCAAGAAGTATTACCTGAGAGAACTAGAGAGCAAGATCCAGAAGGTTCCTCCAGATTTTGCAACAAACTTTTTAGTGTTCTTATCTCCTCCTTATTGAGACCTTCCACCGTTGGAGAATCTTTAGTCTCAAATTGTTCTACCATTAAAGCTTGAAGTCTTTGTTGTCCTCCACAATTCACCCACTCTTTTCCTGGAGGTTTACCATGTAGTTTTCAACATTTCTCCTTTATATGTCTTGGCTTCTGACAATGGGTGCACCATAGATTATCTATGTTTCCCTTCCACAGAGTATCAATATTTTGTACCTTTCCTTTCTGTAACATTTCTAGTTTAGTAAGCAAAGCAGACCCATCTACTAGTAGAGACTCAAGCATGACACTTCTCCTACTTTCTTCTGCACGAACAATGGAGATAGTTTCCTCTAGAGAAGGCATTTCCTTTCTCCCAAGAATCTAGATCAAATTTAGGATTTAATCCAGCCAGAAAATCATATACCCGATCCTTTTCTATGAAGTTCTTTAAGAGAGTAGCATCCTCTGTACACTTCATTTTGAAGACTTGATAGTGGTCCAATTCTTGCCATAAATTTTGCAGATATGTTGAATATTCTGTAATCCCTTTGTTGCCCTATTTTGTGGCTGTAGTTTTTACTTTTATCTCATACATTGGGTAGCATCATTTTCCTTACAATAGGTGCGATTTATGGAGTCCCAGATATCTTTGGATGTCTTAAGAAACATACATGTGTCACTGATGGAGGCTTCCCTGGAATCCCACAACCAAGACATGATCATGGAATCTTTTTCATCTCATGCCAAGAACTTTGGATCCTCCTTATTTGGAGCCTTTTCAAGAAGATGAGAAAGACATCATTCTCCCTTAAGATAGGTCCGATCAAATTGAGACCATTTAAGAAAGTATTTTCCTTTCAATCTGTATGACGCTCGAAGACCTTGGAGTTCTCCCATCTTTTGTAAAAGATTAGAATCCTCCCCTTTTTGTGTAGAATCAGTCGTTGGGAAGATGCAGTGATTTGATGAATGTCACCGTGGAAAACTGCAGCAATTAAGGTTGCTACTCTAAATATGAAAATGGAAATGAAGGTTGTTGGCTATGATGGAAGAAAAACGCGGTAATGAAGGCCGCAGAAGGTGAGAACTGAAATTAGAGCTCCAAGAAACCTAGAGCTCTGATACCAACGTAGAAAAGAGGTAGGCAGAGAAAATTAATTATGGAATCAATTTTCTTGATTATTTGTAGAATAATACATAAATATTTAAGATATAATAAATATTCTAATTAAGGAAATAAATCTTCTGAAATAAATCTTCTGAAATAAAGATCCTAAATCAAAGCAAATCTACCAGTAACTCCTAATACCAAATCTCTTTATTTTAGGGATTTCCAATAATATTATATTTATTATACAATAAATATATAATATTCTAACAATATTCTAACAAACATCGTTTAAATAAAAAAAAATTCAACATAAGACTAACATGATCATGATTATTAATATCACACTAACATATATGACCATTAGTAGATAATATTAAAAAAACAATTAAATAAATTAAAATCTTCTAAGATTTTTAAAAATATATATTGAAATTATATTAATATTATATAATTTAGACGAGTTCCTCTAATTTCTTAAAATATTAATCTAATTTTGTAAAATGATTCATCGCATATTTATATAGTTGGAAAAACTTTTTTTAAGCACTTTCTGAAATTTAATAACAGAACATAAAAGGTTCCATGTACATAATTAAATAATAATCATAAGAAGAAACCAGTGGTATTGAGACACATCCAAGTCCAATTAGAATATACCTAAAACCTTATCTATTCTACAAATAAAGATAATCTATCATAAGTTTTTCACCATCAAATGTTTGTAGATGATGCTTTGAAAATTTTGTTTGTCTTTTAAAACATTATGAGAGTATTAGTCTTTTAGTATATTATTCTTTTAAAAAAAATATGTCTTTTTATATAATTATATAAATAAAATTCTTATATTTTATTTCTTTCTATACGAATCATTTTAAAATTTTGTAGTAATAAAATGTTTTTTATTATTAAAAATCACTAATATAAAATATATTTTTTATATTGGACCAATACAAAATATATTTTTTATATTGGACTTTGTACGTTGGCTATTAAATAACCGATGTAGGATGTAGAAAGTGACGCTATGGAAAATTTGAAATTTTTTTAACACTTTCCACATAGATGTAGAAAGTCAGTCACTACCTCCGCCCTCACTCACTTTCATTTTTCCCACTTGGTGCCTCATCCTCCTCACTTTGGCCGTCTTTGCCCAAGCCGAACCACCCTAACCACCATCTAGGACCCATCACCTTCCTCTCCATCCTCATCTCGCATTCTCCCCACTCTCTCTGCACCTTCACTTCACCTTATCCACCCAATCACTTTTTCCTCCCTAGCCCCCTCACTGTTACCCCAGGTCAGCCCTCTCCCTTGGCCCATTCACCTTCTCCCTCACTCCGCACCTCCACTGGACCATCTCCACTGGAGGCACCTCCACTAAGCTTTTTTTCTCCCCTTCCATTCACGACCATCACTCACTCTCCTCACCCAGCCTCACTTGAATCATCGTCGCCCCTTCCACCAAATTCGTGACCCCTCACGAGCATCACCCTAGTCGCCTTCTCTGTGGTCTCATCCTCTTCACGCACTCGTCAGCTTCCACCACCACGCTTGTCGTGCACGCCACCGTCGACTACCATCACCCGCACCACCACGAGGCGTCTTGGCAGCCTCTGCCACCAACCCGTACCGCAAGCCAACTCGCCTGTCAAGGTCAAACCCTAGGCCAGGGGATCTAGCCTCAACCCTCTTCTGCTTTTACTTGATTTCGGTCTTTTTTTTTTGTTTCTGATAGGGGATTGCATCTCTGATTGGGGTCATTGTTCTCATGACTTATTGTGTTTGATCTCGCATATGTTACTTCTTCTTGTTTCTGGTTGAGGTCTGCCAGATTTTGGTTGGGGTAGTTATTTTAAGTCGAATGGTATTGTCCTCGTTTGGCCTCATTTCTAGTTTGGAATATGTGTTTGAGTTTGATTAGGGGTATTGGATTGTGGGATTATCTTTGTATTTATTGTTGTTCTGTTTATTACAAGTTGTACAAGATTGTATCTAGACTGTATTGAACTGTTTTTGGACCTTGGGTCCTTCTTTTTGTTATCTAGATTGCATGGACCGTGGGTCTTTTGGCTAATGCCATTTTGCTACCATTATGTTACCAGATTTCATTTACCAATTTGGGTTGAAACATCTTTTGATTGTTGCTTGCGAGCGTGGGTGATTTGCAATTGCCTTATTTTAACATTGGTTGTAAATATATGGATTCCTATTGTGAAGGTTGGATGGTTGTGGTTGTATATTTTCTCTGTGTTTCATGACACTATTTGAAACGGTATATTTAGAGAGTGAAACCATAGTTTCCCGTTTAAGATTTAATACAACAACATTAAGTACTATGTTATTGTATTAAATCTTGAATTGTCCAAGTTGGACAGTTTGGCAATAAACTATTTCCCTAAACAATTAAAACTTCTTCTTTGACTTTTGTATCATTACTTGATAAAATTTTGGCTTGTGGTTTGCATTGTCTTTGGCTGAATGCTTCATTGTGGTATATCACACCATTTTGAAGTTGTGTACTTGGAAACTAATGTGAAATGCTATGAAATTTTATCAGGTATGTGATACAGAATTCATAAAAGAAGTTTTAATTGTCTATTGAACAAGTTTATTGTTGAACGGGATAGGGTCATACCTTGTGAGAGATGAATTGAAGTAATTCCATTTTCGCACTAAGCAAAGACGTCATGTACCTGTAGATATGGATCAGAGTTGGATAAATGTCAAACGTATAGAAGAAGAATATGAATTAGGGGTTGAAGAGTTCTTAGAGTTTGCACAGAGAAATGAGGGTAATAACAAAGGTCTCTTTTATTGTCCTTGTGTGAAGTGCTTAAATTTAAGACAACTAAGTGTGAAGGATATAAGAGAGCATGTCCTTTGTGATGGATTTTGCAAGAGTTACACTAAGTGGATTTGGCATGGGGAAGTAGTAGATTTCCCAATGGCGTTAGAGACAACTGAAATCCAGAAAGAAACCAACGATCGACTAGAAGATTTGATACGTGATATTGGTGAAGAGCCATTTGAAAAAGAATATGTATTTGAAGAACTATGTGAAGGTAGTAAGAAGTCTTTGTATATAGGATGTTCTAAGTTCACACGGTTGTCAGCAGTGTTAAAATTATTTAACTTGAAGGCCAAAAATGGGTGGACAGATAAAAGTTTTACAGAATTACTACAATTATTGATGGAAATGCTTCCAGAAGGGAATACACTTCCAAGTCGTACTTATGAAGCAAAGAAAGTAATATGTCTGATGAGTATGGAGTATAAGAAGATACATGCATGACGTAATGATTGCATCATGTACAGGAAGGAGTTTGGAAGTTTGCATAACTGTCCTGTTTGTGGTACATCAAAGTATAAATTCAAGGATGGAGAAGATAATTGTGATAGGACAATTTCATCAGGAACCCTTGTCAAAGTAGTGTAGTATCTTCCAATAATTCCAAGGTTTAAGCGACTATTTGTTAATGCCAAAGATGCGAAGAGCTTAACATGGCATATAGATGAAAGACACTGTGATGGGAAGATACGACATCCAGCTGATTCTCTGTAGTGGAAAAAAAATTGATGACTTGTTTCCAGAATTTGGACAAGAGGGTAGAAACCTTAGACTAGCACTTGCTACAGATGGGATCAATCCTTATGACAATTTAAGTAATATACATAGTTCATGGCCTGTTTATTAGTAATTTATAACTTGTCTCCTCGATTGTGCATGAAACGCAAGTTTGTAATGTTGTCGATGATGATTTGTGGCCCTAAACAACCAAGAAATGACATTGATGTTTATTTACGGCCTTTCATTGAAGACTTAAAACTTCTTTGGGAAGAGGGTGTTGAGGTATTTGATGCATATCGTAATGAATACTTTAAGTTGCAAGTTTTACTTTTTTGTATGATAAATGACTTCCCAAAAAGAAAATCAAACAGATTATTGATGTGTAAGTATACTAACACCCTTATATAATACTTCATTCATTTCATTTTAAGTTTCACATGTTTTAATATGGAGTATTTCCATTTAATCTCTTATAGGTGTATGGAAGCATTCTCAGTCATGGAAGGTAAGCCTAAAAAGAAACCAACATGGATACTTCCACGTGTATAACGACATTATCTTTCAAATTCTTAACTTTAACTTACTCATTTTCTGTACTTAATGTTTTTTTTTCTTATTTTTCTTATAATGTAATAAGCAAAAAGGAAGTTGGGAGTGCGCACATTATGTGATGAGACATATGTTAACTATATTGGAATTTAGTATGTGTTATGACTATATTTATGTCATTGACATATATTTGCCTACTTGTGCTTATCTTAAATGTTTTTTTTTTTTACTGTTTATAGATATTCAAAGATGGTCATCCAATAAGTGAAGCAGAGATTGATGACATTAGACGATTTTGGACTGATTTTGTTATTAAGAACTATAGTCGAGATTGAATAGTTAATTGTGAAACATTAGGACTATTTTTCTTTGTATATACAAGTTTAGAATACAATACATGTTCATTTTTTGTTATTATGTAATATACATTATGTTTACTCATGTGTGTTGATGCATGTCCTTTATAGATTAGCCTTCTCGGTAGTTATAGATATTTAAAATGCTATACAGGTTCTTTGTTGAATTATTGGCAAGCTTACCAAAATTATCAATCGCAGTATAGTATTTCGATTAAATAAAAGTCGATCCCACGAGGAATGATTTTAATGGAAATTTCCAATTATATGTTTACTAAGTAGATTAAAACAAATTGGGTTTTGCATAAAGAGTTGAATTGAAATTAAATGACAAAGAACTGTAAATTGTTGAGAAAAGATCAATTAAAGGCACTTAGGATTTACTTCTTTCCTTATCCATCTTTTGTAATAGTTATGTCAATTAAGAACGTCAATTAATCTAACAATGTTGATGATACCTACTCAAATTATCCATGTTGATTTCTTACACATAAAATTCATAATAAAACCTAATAAATGTTGATTTCTCACACAATTAAGAGATTTTCCAGCATTAAGTTTAGGGTGTTAAGCAATTGATACATTCATTCCATTCCTGGCAATTAACTTAACAAATATTCTTATCGTGATCTAGGGTTCAAGATATATTTTTCAATCATATCTCAAACATAAAAAATAAATCATTCTAAAGCACAAAAGATAAGAATAGCATCAAAACATAGATTAATATCTCAAAATATCACCATGATACAAAAGAGTTCAAAGGAAGTGCACCAAATCCCAAGAGAATGAAGTTAGTCTCTCATGTTGGTCATTACAATGCTCCAAATATGAAAGAAGTGAAGAATTGATGAAGATTAGACGAAACCCTAATAGTAGTCGTGTCTCTGCTCCCCAAAACCGCTTGTTTTTCTCAAAACACATCTTATCATTTTATAGGAAAAATTGGATCTCGCGTCTTTCGCTCAAACGACAACTTTTGCTCAAGCAAAAGTTTCTTATTTTTGCTCAAGCGACCAATCACTCGCTTGAGATAGTGAACTCCAGAGAAGAATAACTAACATTCACTCAAACGAATTTACTGGCGCTTGAGCGACTGACTTCCAAAGAAGAATAATTGGCATTCGCTCAAGCGAGAGTCCATCTCGCTCAAGCGAGAGTCCATCTCGCTCGAGCGACTTCCATGCTGAAAATCTTCTTCCTTCTTCCAGTTTTACTCCAATTATGCTGACAATTATGCTCTTTACTCTTGTATAAAGGTATTCTCGAATTCATCCTACATTGAGAGAAAAATATATTAGAATTAACATAAGTTAAGTGGTTTCATAACAATTCAAAGCATAATTATATCAACTTTTTACCACTTAACATTCTTAAAAATCAAAAAATAAAATTCGCATTTAAAAAAAACAGACTTTCCACATCAGTTATAAGGAGAACCGATGTGGAAAGTCAGACTTTCCACATCGGTTATGGCCTAGAACCGATGTGGAAAGTCTAAATTTTCACATCGGTTCTCCTTATAACTGATGTGAAAAGTCAAACTTTCTACATCGGCTCTTAACCGATGTTAAAACTCACCAACTTTCTATATCGGTTGTATCTACATCGGTTGTAGAACCGATGTAAAAGGCTACTGGGAACTGATGTTAAAAGCCCATTTTGTACTAATGAGTATTAAACTTTTATATTTATCTCTAAATGTTAAACTTATGTACAATACACATTTATAAATGAAACAGAATTTAACTTCTTTTAATGAAATTTTGAGTTCAAATATGAAAATAGAAAAAAAAAGTATTGAATAAAAGAAACAAAAGAGAATTTAAAAATTAAAAAAAACAACAACTTTATACAATTATATGAATAAAATTCTTATACTCTATTTCTTTTATCTGAACTATTCAAAGATTATAGTAATAAAATGTGTTTATATTACTATATGTTTTTTATTGTTATATATAATCTTTATTATGCTTATACATGACCAAGTATAAATACATTTGCAATCAACAAAGTAGTGAGATATCTATCTTACAATATGTGAAGGGAATCCCCCACAGATTTTGATTTTATTTACTTAAAAATAGATTTTTTTTTCTTATAAAAGAATTAGATACTATCCTAATAGAGTTATTAAAACAATTGGTCAAGCTCAGCCTCGTCTGAATTTATAGGCAAAGAAAAAAAAGTTACTGATTCAATT